ATTGATTAACCCTTATCAGTTACAAGACCCGGAAAAAGGAAAGTTATGGTTTACAATCAAGATCAAAATAAACACTAAACACACCTCGGGAAACATGCTGTAGAGGGAAGAAAGGTAACGTACTGATTAGGCCTCCAAGCGAGGGGGCCATACAGCGCTTTCGTAATTTACACACAATTGAAAATTGCAGTGATCATTCCGGCTTCAAATGCTGTATTCTGTGATTCTGCGTTATACTAAGTTAATCTTTCGTATTTACTTAATCACTGAATCCAACTAGAAACAGAAAGTTTCACTTGTTTTGATCGCAATTTAGTTATACTAAAAAAAGTGTTTATCAACTTTCCTACGAAATATTGAAAGGCAACTGTCTGCAAGTGTACTTAAGAGACACTAAGACTAATATGAATAATTTATTCTACAAGAGCAAATACTGCGATCCCATCGTTTAGTAACGTGATTTGATTCAAGAAATCTCGTGTTACCAAGAGGAGAGTCCTCTCTTGACGGATAGTTGACGTTCAAGCTGTCATGATTTAAAAATTTGCTTTTTGCAATGGATAGAATGGTTACAAGGTGTCCTTCAGCCCATGAAATGACATTCGCATTTCACCGGTAGCATACTCAAATATGATTCGTAGTGAAAGGACGATGCTTTTTGCAAATCTGTGTTCTAATTCTTGTTCTTAGATTTGACGCGATTCTGAAGTAGTTTTACGTTAGCTCAGTCTAAAACCCATCCATATCGAGGATTCAGCATAAAACATGTTTCGGTTAAAAGATTATCTCTAGGCCTAGCAAACTATGTCAACAGGTCAGAACCTCGTGCATGCAAAACAGTTTTGTCACGCTACCATAACAAGACATTTTTTTTAAAATGTTTTTTTCAATTAAAGAATGAAACTGAGAAGCAATGCATCTTCTGGCTCTTTGTGTGGTTAACCATGTTAAGTAGAAAACAGACCATTAGCTAAGTTATAAATGAGTCATAAGAGAACCGGTAGTGAAAACTATAGGGAACATTTAACTGGATTTACGAACCATCCTCGCTCAAAGAAAAGCTATGGGAAAATTGAAATTACATTTTTAAAAAAAAAACAACAATACTTGACCCTTGGTGTGTACGTGTGTACATGTACCTTTATCATGCGTCATGAGATATGGGCGTGAATTCCAACACAGCAGACCAACTCGTGAGTACCCAAAGCGACAGTGACTTGTTTCTTTTGGTCAACCGATTGAAAAAGAATTAGGTACAATTATCTAACGCATTAACATACTAGAACAAAATGTACTTGAGCATTTGTTTTCTTTTACTCTGGAGCAAGGCTCAATGTTTTGTTTAGAAACAAGCCTGTGTTTTCAGAACATCAAAGGTTCAATAAACTACCAAATGTCTTTTACATATTTACATCTTAGGAGCGGAAGATTTTAAGGCTGTAAAACCGTTGACTCTTATCTATCATCATGGCTAACATGATCTTGCGGGTTCATCTAATTTAACCATTTACAGAATAAAGGTCCATCACAGTTTGATGTCCCGATTGAAATCAATGCAGCTTCGGGAATCAATAGCCCCAAGCTAGGAGCTTTATTGAAATACACAAGTTGGCCATCGATCAGTTCAGTCAGTTTCACAGCCCCTTATCTTTGCTAATAGCAACAATAAATCGTTCTGATTTCCTTGATTATGAAGCGCCTTTGCCTTCTAAAGAAACTAATTACAACCAAGAAGTTCAGTCCGCATGTTGCACAGTGATGACAACTGTCTAACCATGCTTGCTATAACTCTGTGTCTTCAAGCACGTGTACCTTGAAACGGTACCCATTCATGGTGTATTCCTTGATCGTTTGCACTTCTTGTACCTGCAGAATTTGTACCAGTAAATGAGCCACCTTGTCTAGTTTGGCTCTGTTGTTGTGTCGTGGCGTGTGTTCATTGTAAAGTTCTGTTAACTCGTCGAATCTCGAGCTGGGTAGCTTTGCAAATTGTTGTTCCCTAGTTTGTTTAGCAGCGCCGATCTTCGACCGGCGTAGAAAGAAAGCGGCATTTTCCAAGCTTGTCTTTAAGTTTGTTGAGGGCATTCCTCTATAAAGGAAGTTCTGGCCGTCTGTTTCGGCAGCAGATGAGCCAACAATTCCTCCGAATGACGATGGAAATTTTCTGCGTCCAAGAGATTGTACTTTAACTATTGGTACGAAAAGTCTGATCCAAATGTCTCCTTGACTGCCGGTTATCAAATTTTACGCATGCAGTTTGCCCACTTTCCTTTGTTTATCTCGCTGTGATCATCTTCCGGAGCATCTTGACAGAACAGACGAATCTTGACCTCTGCCGACTAGAGTAAGCCTTTACCTTGACCAAAGAAGATAGGTTCACGGTTAGCTTTTAGCAGATTGCTATCACTATATAAATACCCATGTGTCACAAATCGCGATGCGTGCTGAATCCAATATAATACAATGCTGTCTCGAAACAGCCAGGAGAAAAATGTACCCTCGGCATCCAAACGTTTCAGTAATTACCTCGTTCGAAAATGTCGTTGACCTGTTTTTCGGCTGCTAAACGGTGAATGGGCACCTTTGTAAAGTTATCCCTAATGAGGTGTTGCGTGAAAACAGGTAATAAAACGTTGCGGTCGGCTGCAATGAATAGGTCTTGTGTAAGGTAAAGCTAAACAAAAGCAAATTAGCCCTTGCGGAGTGTAGAGTTCAATACGTGATTATCCATGCAGGCCTCTTTTATCACAATCACAGATGGAAATATGGAATTTTACTGACTTCGTTTCAATGCGCCGGCATTTAGTCGTTCTAATTTTCCTAAATCACCTGGAATAATCTAATCCTTTAGCATCTGGCAATAGTTAGACAAATGCTTTTAGGAAATACCCAGGCAAAAGAACAGAAAACATGACTGGAATGTGTTCAAATTGAAAGTGAACCATAGGCGTAAAAGATATAAACATCAACATGAAAAGTCATTGTCATAGCATGCCTTGAGGCAAGCATGCAGAGTAATTTTGTTATCAACACGAAACAAGTTTGTGACGAAATTCATTTGGAGAGCGAATCGGTGATATTTAGCGCATATTTTTCACCAGCAAACAAATACCTTATTCTATTATCTTGAACAGTCAGATAAATTTTTTCATTTATAGACTTACGAGCTGAAATGCGTATCTTATCTGCATATATTAGAAAACAGAACATACAATTGGTCTTTATATATAGCAAGGTATCAAAAATTCTTGAGTGTTATTCTTTTTTTGACGTTAATGTAAGTAGAGTAAATGCGTAAACTACTAAACGGAAAACGTTCAGCGAGGTCAATTCCGACTATTTTTTGCTTAAAAGTTGGGATTAATGGATTTTACTATTGATCTGCTTGAGCAAACCTCCAAGATATTTCCTTTGTCGCTGCACTGGAAGGGAAGGTTAATCTAACTGTGATATCGATTAAAGACAGCTATGAATCAAAGGTTACAAAAGGGGCGGGAAATGTTATTTGACGAAATCTTTCAGGTCTGCCAACTGAGGACATATTCTAAGCATGCTGAAGTTATCGAACGAGGTATCATAACAAAGGTTGGAAAATTCGCTCGATCTTCTGAAGAGTGCAAGTATTTTACTGACTGACGAGCAGACCGCAAGGTCTGTGATCAGCGATATTTTGAGACGAGACTGAGCTCGAGCTGTGAGTAGACAATGTTGACGTAAAACGAGAACGTTCCATGAGTGTTCTCGTGAAAAATGATCTCCAAAGTAGCCACTTGCACTGTGGTTATGAAGTCATTGAACTAGCATGAGGTCTATTGGGAAAATGTTGCCGGTAACAAGGTAATTCAATAAGTAGTTTAAAAAGGTGTTTATTTTCTTATAATGACTCTTAAAATTGCTGGTAATGCTTCCACGCGATAATTCAAGATAAACTCTGCACCTGAAAGTTAGGTATTTATTTTTCTTCTTTTTCTCGGGTTACTTTCCTAAGAGATAAACTGAAATAATATTGTCTGCCAAACATGACAGAAAAATATTCTTCTGAATAAAAGAAACTGTTTTGATGTTTAGTGCAATGTTTGGAAAAAGTGATTCGCCGAAACTAATTCAGACCACACAGGCGGGACCAATCAGAGTTATTCTTTTCATCATGAACCGGTTGGCTTCGATGGCGGCAGAATATCACAATCCGTCGTGTTTTGGATACTGCACTATAAGTTATTTCGTTAGATCACTTAATATCTTTCGCAATGACAGTTAGGGAGCAGGAGTTTTCGCGAATTAAATGTGTCAGGGCCGTAGTCTTCACCGATGTCGATGCCGGTTCAGTGTGTACATGCAGTACTACCCTCAATAAAATACGTACCCTATCATTGATTATCCTACCTTTCAGCTTCTCTTCTATCTGTCCCCCGTGCTCAGAAGGCGAAACGACTGTCCCGTTTTACTGGTTTTTAATAGCTTGGAGAACGCGGATTTCTCAAGACAATTACGCAAGACTAAAAGTGAAAACTGGTAAGGCTACACAAGAGCGTGTTTTGGGCGTAAAAGTGTGCGTGCTTGTTTGTTTATCATGACGTCAGGCGCGCATCCAGACAATAAATGGTGACAGATTTCCGAAACAACGAGCACCTCGAAATCCGGAGCCATACCCTCCAACAGGAAATGTTTTGGATTTTAACTCCCCAAAAGTTCCTGACTTCTGATCTGAGTCATTCCGTCTGAAAAAAATCTGACCGATCTCTCTAAATGGAAAGCAAAACCTCACGTCCGCACACATTTCGTCATCATTGTCCACAATTTCAGGCAAAACTTTTCTTCAATGCCATCTTTGCTGTGTTACTAACAGAAAGAAACACACCCCTACAGGAAGACTTGAAAAAGGTAAATCCACAACTCAGGAAGAGTCCACGCACATGAATAGTTGACAACCGCCACGTTGTTACGTCGCACTATTGTTTCGCGCATTTCCAAAAGTGGCATTGTGCCGGGCTGTAGGCGGTGGAGACCGGTATGGTTCGGTTCCTGTACATTGACGCCACGAAAATTTTAACTGTGAGGAGATTAGTAGAACATGAGGTAAAAACAGGAAGTCAGCCTTAAACTCACAATTCTCTTCTCCCACACAGCACCAATCCATGGTCTGGCTTGAACTTCAGTAATCAGTGACCGAGCGAGGGACAGAGAAGGGCTGGTAGCCAGAATAAAGCTGCGTTAAAAGAGGATACATGATGGTCACATGTCACCCACCGTAAAATAAAGAAAAGGGAAATAATACTAAGCGAAACGAAAAGAAAACCACTTTGATATAAATCAGATCATCCGCGGCAGGGATTTAACCGATCTTTCTTGCTATTTCTGTAATAAGACTTTATTTTTTAGTACTTATAAAGTATTCAACTTCCGCATTCAGGAATTATTTTAGGACCTGGAACGTTCTTTCGGCTCAGTCTGAGCGACTGATTAGTTACATGACAACAAAAGGAACAATCAGAAATGATTCATTGTCACAATAAATGACACTATTTATAAGAATATTTATAAAAATATTCATTCCGCCTGTGTTCTCCAACTTTAGAACAGGGTCAGCAGTGTACTCCCGTTCTTCACGTGATTTCACTCAACAATTTTGAGGTTTTTATGTCGCTTAGTCAAGCAGAGGTGATTGTCTCTCTCTTTTGTTTTCTCAGGAAATAAATTATCCAGTAATGTATATTTCTAAATCTTCCTCCGAAACTTCGATCGGACAAACGAGACCGAACGACGCCATTTTGGCTGATAGTGTATACCGCACTAGTAGACCTATACTTTAGTTCTGGTCACGTCCTAGTGCAACGGGGAACGCTTTCCAGACTCAAATAGTGAAAGTCCATGAGTGGGCAGCAACATTACTCCCGCCTAAGAAACAGAGATTTACTCAATACATGTTTTATTTATAATACAAAAGCTTTCTTCAATTGCATAACTTTGAACTTATTACCTCTATTTACTGTAGTGCCGAGATACTTTCTGGATGGAATCACTGCATATGGTGATGCTTATTTATACACAGAAGCGCATCCATTTCAGTCGCAAAGACACCTATAAAATGAGAATGCAGCTTGCAGTACTTCACTGGGTATGTACCACAACACTTTTGATTTGTATTCATGTCAGGCTTCACAAAAGTGGAAAACATAGACAGAGGATAAGGAACGTCCACACAGGGACACTCTTTCTTTTCATTTTAATAGAAATTGCCTTACAGACTGGTAACTGCAGAGCCCATGACCATGGGCTCCGGGTAACTGTTAATTATTACTATTATTAAAATTATTATCGTTATTATCATCACCATCAGCTTCCCGGTGGCGGAGGGGGAGATTCCCATATGAAAAGGTCAGGGGTGCTTGCCGCAAATTTTGAAAAAAAAAAAAAAACCCTAAGAGTTACCAAGATCCTATGTTGTGCGCGTGGCTTGCAATTCTTTTGACCCTCGAGAAGTTCCAATATTGTAAAATAACACATTGTGTCCTGTCGAATTTTTTTGGCTTAATAATCTAAAAGGTATTGCAAAAGTTCCCGCTGTGGACCTTATGAGACTGAACACCTAAGACGAACCAAAAGTACTTTTTTAACCCCAAAAAAGGTACAACAAGCACCCCCGTCCTTTTTACATTAACTCACGCACACAAGAAAGAGCATGTTTGGTAATATCGCTTTTCACGAGCGACGATGCCCTTGATAGGATACGCTAGGCTAGGGTAGGCCACCTATCACGAATGTCCTTTATCACGCAATGTGGCATAACCTCTCTAACGTCGTCAATAAGGCAACCCAATTGTTGTTTCTTCTCCAGATACGTTGGGTTGTCCCAAAGCCCGTTGTCCTTAAGGGTCTTCCAGTACTACTTGTAGTCTTTTCGCCTTTTTGTATGATTTGTTATACGCGCATCACACTATCCGTTTGGTTTGAAATCAGAAGATGCGATGCACGGAGCTCGCAGACAGAAGTCACAGGCTGACTCTGAAACTTGTGGCGGCGCGGCCACGCCGGACTCATTGTTGTCGACGGCCTCGTCGTTTCTTTGAGGAAAAAGACGAACAGGTGATGGCCGTANAGTGGTACGGCAAAGCGCTTCCTCGCTGCAAAAAAAAAACAAACAAACAAAAACATATTTTAGAATAAAAATTCGGACAGAAGTGAACAGGGGCAACTCAAGGGTACGGTACGATGAGTCTTGCACACAACTTGTTGAGATAATTCCATATTGTTACAGAGAAATTAACTTACATGAATGGAATTGTTCAAGTTTGCATATCCTAGAATTATCCACTTGATCATATGTAGTTTATGTGATACATATCAGTGGTACAAATCTATGACAACCGGAGACCATGTCATAATAGCCAAATCTTTGGGAAACTAAACCCAAAATTTCGATTTTGTTCCCTCATCAGCAACATTTCACGTTGCTATTCCCCCGAGCAGAAATTCCCACTACTCTAATAAAAGTACATGAACGGATACAAATCCACATTGAACGCTTTAGGTATCGCCGGAAGCAGAATGATGTAACCTTCGACACCGGGAAATCAAGTTCCATTTGTTTATCACTAAGAAAAAGTGCACAATTCGAAAACTTTTGCTCTCTCAAAACGGTCAAATTATTCTCAAACAGTTTTTCTGCTTTTGTCGCTGGCTGAAGTCTTTCCTGCAATCGAGTTTGCAATCTTTTTCGAGAAGCCGAGTTTATGAAGGAGAGATAAGTTGTAAATGGAATGTTCGAACTATAGTCTACTACTTTGGATGCGTCGTACGGACACAACTTCGCAGGCCACCTCTGGAATTTCTTGAAGGGGGCGAATAACCTCATCCTTTTTGCTTTCGTCAATCTCGAGAGTCACGTACGAACGAAGGCAACAAAAACACTTGTGAAATACAGCTGTAGAGGCTAACAAACGATACAGTGAGAATCGATGTAACAGAAAAAAATATGTACTTACCCGCACGCGTTTTCCATTGGCATTGTCAGCTCCACTTAACATTGTACAAGCTCTTTGCACGCGTCAGATATTTCAGATTTGAAAAAAATAGTTTTGGAATGACGGCCTTTATAAGTCTTTGTAAGCACTGTGCACAGTAATAGCAGATATAAGAGACCTGTGCGTATCGCGCGCCCCGGAGATGTTGACAGCTCCGTGTCTAGAGTGAAATGACCGACTACTCGCCCAGTCCAAGGGTCCTCATATAGCGCGGGCCCTGGTATAAGAAAACCCAGATTTGGTGAAACTTGACCTCTAATTAATTACGGTCTTGTAATAACAACTTAGCGTATTGCTGTAAATCGCTGTAAACCCATTCAGGTTGTTTTTCCTCCCACAGTTTATCCGGATTAGGCCCACGCGTGTATGAAGTTCGTCACGTCAACTTTCTTTTAGTCTGTCCCCAGGCTCCTCTCTTTTGCAACAGCTTTCTTCCCTTGCCATTTGCTATTTATATTAGAGTCATGTCAAGTGAAACGCTGCACTGAACGAGTGATTCCGAAGCCATACGTTCGTACGTTTGTAATCACAGCTGGGGAACTTGTTCAGAGGAGTATGGCAGCCCTTTCGGTCCAAAAGAACATACTGGTAAGCATTGATTTCCTCTCTTTCACGTTTTTATTCAAATATTCCTTCGCCTGCAGTATAAGACATATAAAATAAACATTACTGAAAACTCTTGCAATTTGCATTACTCTGGTCGATAACTCCTATTCTATTTTCACCAGAATTTAAATGTCCTCGACTGTAATTTTTTTTTTTTCACTGAAACACCAATTTTAAATAACATTTTGAGATCGCTTTCACTCAAATAACTTCTTCAACGTGCCCGTAACAAGGGTGAAAGTAAATATGTTTAAACATTTCACAGGGCGCAGCAGTGACGTATCAGATTGGATATCTACATTTTACTGCAATGCCGTTTAATCAACGCACGTCCTTTCTAAAATTCGCGTTCAAACTGCTCACAGCAACCGTATTTGCTCGAATAATTGCATAGTCTCACATAAAGCTGTATCCTTGCTACAGAGGGACATCAATAATTCCTTAGAACTTTGTTTATACCGATAATGAGTAATCCGAGCCACCATGCTTGACAATCATGATATGTTAAAATATAGCTCTTTAATAAATAATTTCTTGTAACTCTTGATATTATGACCCTATCATGAAAAAAAAAAAAAAAAAAAACTCAAATCATTCGTTATTCCGTTCAGTTTCACAAGGAAACCCTGGCTTACATTTATCGATCGGCTTGAAGGAGTAAAGTTTGGGTAACCATGCATTCGGCCCGACTTACCTTTGAACATTGATAAAATACCTTTGAATCAAAAAGGTTTTTTGGTGGAAGTTCGTCGGGGCGATTTATTTGCAGGGAGTTTATCATCAGATTGAATTTGTAGATTTCAACATATCAAAGAAAATGGTTGAACTTATTTACATGTAGCTGGAATAGATTCTGCGTCTGCAAAAGTGCAAAAAGGTAAATGAAAACTAAATTGCCTGTCACCATTACAAAAGGTCTCCAATTACAAAACAATGCAACACATAAAACGCTAAACAAGCTTTATATAACCATAGCCTCTATTTGGCGCGTAAATATGCTCGGATATGTTTCCGCAGACATTACCTGTCCCGAGAAGTGAACAGTTTCCGAGAGCAAAATTCGAGGGAAACTGTCTCGGTGAGCTTCATGGAGCGGATACTGTCCGAGGACAAATACATGAGCATATCAAGTTCAAAGTCAAATGAGGGCTTTTGTGTTTATCATCCTTGAAATATTTTTTGGCAACGCGCTGGATTTAGAAATTGGGGAAATTCTTCGAGCGATAATATTTCCTGGATTATGAGTGATATCTGTCCTGTCATTGACTCATGATGCGCAATATCATTTGATCATCGTGCAAGTGCTTCATCGATTTGTATGGAGCTAAAATCTTGGCCAAAATAAAATGAGGCTCTCATACTTTAAAAAGTATCTGCAGCGCTTCTAGCACAAAACCGTGCACTTTATTGAATAGTGAATGGCGTGCCGGCTTACACCTCTGCCGGCTTTACATAGCGTTCAAACGTTCAAGCACAATACAACCTCAGATGAGTTTCCCATTAAAGGGACTCAGCCATAGTATTTTGAGTTATTTTTCCACATACCAAATTACCTCTAAATAAAGGAAAGCTGAAAATAAAAAAAAAAAAAATAGAAAACCACCAAAGAGACATTAATTAATAAGCCATAAAGGAACAAGGATGGCAAAGATTAACGAAGATTTTAAACGACGAACTTGCAAAATTGAGGTTAAACTTTTCAAGATGCGCGAAAGCAGTGTTTGATTTTATCTTGCAAAATTTTCTGCTCATTGTGCTGTGTGGTTCCGTTTTGCCGCAACACATAAGCTTTTATAAGTCTCTATATTTCACCAAGCTAAAGAAAATAAAAATTTAGTTAAGCACGACTAATTTCTCGGCTTGTGGTGTTGCTCATATTTTTCGGTTGTACTTTCTTGGTCCGATTTAAAATGCAAATTGTTACGTCACAATTGTGATCCAATTGTCACGAAAGTGCGGAGGGGCTACTCTGCATTGCAAATGTATTTTTGAGTGGCGTTAAAATTATTATTCGCGAACTGACGCCTCAGTTGCGAGCTTGTGATCTCAGAAAGTAAAGCATCTATTCCAGGAAACGACAGCCCTAACTCCTCCTCGAGACAAAATGGTGAGCATAAATACATCAAAGAATTTATTTTTATACGTTGAAACGTCTTTAGGCGAATTTTGCTGCCAGTTATAGTATTTATACCTAGAACTTGAAACATCGAGTATGAACGAATTGGAAACACTGCCTGAAATTTCTGCCACTAGCCTACTGTCTTCGATTATTGAGCCCTCTATCTAAATTTGCGACTTGACACAATATCTTTAAAAGCTTTTCTTGACAGTTTGTGCGTCTTTCGTCGAAGAAAGTACGAGTAACATTGTTTGGTAACGCTCTGATGATACTACTTGTTTTTATCAAATATGGAATTACGAGCATTATCGTAGTGAAATTTGAACAAGGTTTTGTTCGTTTATGAATTTTGTTCCTTGAAATAACTGCTAAAGGGTAGAAATGTAAACCTGTGGAATTTTTTCGGGATATTTGAGCGGTCCATTTGCTCTACAAGCGAAATGTTTCCTCGAAAATTCGAGAGAAAAGGGCGTACATGTACGTAGAGATGTATAGCCATTGAAAACAATATTCTAAAATTATAATATCACGTCTGGTATTTGTCAAACTGGGATTATTTGTCCTAGGGACGAGTGTTCACCACTCTCTGTCATAGCAGATTTAAGTTGTGATTAATATAAAAATTAGTATTTTAGCAAACTAACGATTCATTTTTCGCAAAGTGAGTTTGGTGGTGCTGTAAACACTGGATTCATGAATATTCACAACAACTTGGCGGCGTCTGTCACGCAACAGCGGTTTTCAATGGTTAAAAACCAAGCCAAGCCTATTCCAGAACAATGCAAGCAGAAAAATAGAGTTTGTCTGATATTGTCTCATCAAGGTTCGCTGCACAAGTGTTTACTGAAAATAACTGTACGTTACTTATTATTTTCTATATTCTCTTCACTGGTCTGGCTATCAGTGCAGTGTTGATATGAAAGGAGAAAATAACTATTGATCGCTATTTCGAAAGAAACTGGATGACGTATTTTTCAAATGAGTAGGCAAGCAAAGCGTCCAAAATCAGATGGTAAACAGGTGTTTACAAAAGATGCTGTACATTTTGCTCGGCTGAACAATTTCTGAAGACTGGTTAAAAATGCAGGGCTTTTGCTCTAGCCATCTGCAAGTCTAATTTAATGAGGTATTTCATTATACAAGTGTCGACATTGCAAGCTGATAATGATATGACTTGACTTGCATTGGAAAATCAATGTGTAACGGTCTTTAACATGTTCTTTACCCTTTTCTTCTTTACCAAAGATATAGGTAGACTTGTGTTGTTGGTCCCTGTTTGTAGCTACAAATGACAAACATAAAAAAAAACATTTCAGAAATGACCTCAATATGCAGAAAATAATTTTCAAGCAACCTTATTCTATCATCCTTCTTGGAATCTAAACGTCTATCAAATATTATGCATGACAATAATTCTTGTTACACTTATTTTACATGTAGAAAAAAATATTTGTTTTATTCATTTTACAGCCAGAATTCTCCGAGAGGGAAAAGAAACGTAAGTATAGATCACAAAAACAAAAAATTTACAATAAAAAGAAACCTAATTTGTTTCATTGAGACAGGCCGCAGTACAATCTTATTCCAGCTCATTCCATTAATCCCAAACTAGATTTCCGTGAGGCTTTCGAGCTCTTTGATCATGATGGCAGCGGTTTCATCACCACTGACGAGATTGGAGTTGTCATGAGAAGACTGGGGCAGAATCCTTCCCCTTCAGAGCTGGAGGATATGATTAGAGATGTTGATGCTGATGGTGAGTGTTCTGACAAGCCCAGTGGCTTCGTTTGGACAAGTAAAACAGAAATTCAAGTCAGGAAATCACTTGCATGGGTCTCAATAGATGCGCTGTCCGTAAATAGAATCGCGAAATCTTGAATGTTGTCAACACGACAAACCAGTATCTTTCTTAACAGCTTACCCATGTTAGCCTATATATATATAGTCCTCTCGTACAGCTGGTCGTCAGCCTACGGGGTTGTCTGCGCGTACTAAATGATCGCATTGAGGGGAAAAATACGAGAAAGAGAATGATATTTTTTTCTTCGTCCGCTTACGGTTTTGCTTTCTTCCTACAATTATTGGAACGGCTTGAACCAATGTTTTTTGCCAATTAGGTTAAAATATGTTCCCACATGTAGTTAAAAAATTACGCCTGGCCATGGATATCTAACATTTATCCTTAAGACAGTACGCCCGCTTGACTAAACATTTTTTACGGTTTCTCGTCTCTCACCAAGGAGAAAGAGAACGGAATCTCTGTTTCACAAGATATACTAAAACATGAAAAACGTTTAAGCAAAGTTGAAAGAGTATTCATATCTCTTCATTCAGAATTAAGCTCGAGACCTTTTCCAACCCCATACTGTAACTATTTGGGATGGATTTATTTTAGGGAGCGGTCACATTGACTTCAACGAGTTCCTGGTTATGATGTCCCAAACAAAAGAAAAAGGCCACCAGGCGGAGCTGCGCCAAGCATTCCGGCTCTTTGACGCAGATGGCGACGGCTTCATAACATTTGATGATTTGAAGAGGGTGATGCGCAACTGTGGAGAGAGCCTTTCAGACACTGAACTGAAAAACATGTTCACCAAAGCAGATATTAACAGGGATAATCTTGTTGACATGAAAGGTAAACTAATAACGCCGAAATTTGTGTTATAACCTTCTAAACCACAACTCAACTCGCGCCACCCACGCGTGACAGGAGCTGTAAGGTCGAGCGCGCGCGCGTTTATCGCGCAACCTGGTCGCCAGTCGCATGTCCAATTAATATTTATCGTTTTTTTTTCTCTCTCTCTCTCTCTCTCTTTTTGCGACAGAGTTTTCGAGGATTGTCAGCAACGAATAGACGGACCTCCATCCAGAAATTGTGGACGAGCGTGAATAATTTGTGGCAGTTTTTCTTAATAATCTGCTTCGCTCAAATTGATGTACATCTTTCAAGTAAATGCATGCATTCTATGTTTTTGGTAATCAGTATTTGTAAATTAGACAAATGAGAATTAGCTCGTCGTGTCTTCTTGGAACACGAGAATTGTAAACTAAACAATAAAATGTTTACTTTGTGAGTATTTTTCTTTGGTTTGAGTTTCATTCGTGCTCGACAGGTGCTTTGACAAATTTCGAGAGAGAACTTGTGAACTTAGAGACTTGGCTCATGATAAATAAATTGCTTTCGGGTTGAAAAATATTGATTTCGCAGTTTGATTAAAAAAAAAAAGAGGGACTAGCACTTTCATATGGTATCTTTTAAATCTGATAAACCTAAACCATTAATTACAGCAAAAACTAAGAGAAGGCGTGTCCCGCAGAACACTTGACCTAAGGCTCTATTCGGGCCAGTTTTCGGGTTACGGGATTTTTAGGCTAAAAAAATAACGGGGTACAGGGTATTTTGAGGAGGGGGGATTTTAATAATGGGATATATGGGATATATAGATCAGATGACTGGCG